AGGCCGAGAAGGAACCATCCACCACCACTCTCAGGGTGCGGTCCCTAAGCCAATTGGCCACCCACCTGACCATGTAGGTGCCCACTCCACAGTCTGCTAGCCTCCCAATGATGATAGGGTGTGAAACTGTGTCGAAGGCCTTCCTAAAGTCCAGGAAGATGACATCAGACTCGGCTCCTGCGTCCAGGCAGTGTGTGACCTAGTCATAGAAGGCTACAAGGTTTGTCAGGCAGGATCTACCTGTGACAAACCTGTGCTGGTTTCCCCTCAGCTTCGTTTCCCCTGCTGGGCCTGCACAAATGTGTTCTTTGTTAGCATTTTCCCAGGAATAGAGGTAAGACTGACTGGTCTAAAGTTACCCGGCTCATCCCTTCTCCCTTTCTTGAAAATGGGCACCACATTGGCCCTTCTCCAGTCCTCAGGGACCTGGCCAGAGCACCACGAGTTCTTGAACAGCTGTGCCAGCAGCTCAGCTATGACACTGGCCAATTCTTTCAGCAGCCATGGGTGGAGGTCACCTGGGCCTGCTGACTTGTACCCATCCAGCTCCTCCAGGAGCTCCTTAACTATTTCAGAACTAACCGTAGGCAGACTGGTGCCATGTGGACAGCCGTCAGTGATCAAAGTGGAGGAATTGGCTTGGTCAGTACTTAGAAATACTGAAGCGAAGAACTCATTGAAGAGCTCTGCTTTTTGCCCCCCGCATCAACCACCAACTGTCCTGATTTGTCCTGCAGGGGCCCTATGTTGCTCTGAGCTTTCCTTTTGCCCGCTAAATACCTGTCACATGTCACAAACACAGTGTTGAGGTGTATTCTTGAATTCATTTTTCTGATATGGCATGTGTGGTCTCTACTGATAAGCAGCATTAAGCTGGGTTTAAGCCTCATCATTCTTGTATGAATTGTGATATTTAATGTGAATGTATTTTTATATTTTATAGGAGGGCTAGGGTTAAATAATATAATAATGATTTTAGGTGTTACTTTTCCAACAGTGAAGTTTACAGCTGGGAGACGATGAAAGTCTAAATGATGAAATGAACTAACCGCTAAGAATTAGCAATCAACACATGTACGTTTAATAACCAGTCAAATAGGCAGACATGGGCCAAGACCATGAGCCAGGCTATTCCATACAATCACCAAATTACAAGCTTAAAGAAGTCCGTAGCAAGAATGACACCTGGAAAGACTATTTAAAGAACAGTGGGCATGTCTACACCTGCATTAAAATGTGCTGTAGTTACTACGCATTAAATTTAGTACCTGTAATAACAGGTGCTAACTAAATGTGCAATAATTGGTGCTACTGCGCAGTAGCGCCAAGGTACATCTTCTTTTAAAGTGATGCTAATGCGCAGTGGTTTAATTCTGCTGTGCATTAGCATGTCCCAGCAAAAGCTGTGCTACTGCACTTATGTGCAGCAGAATTAATCTACTGCACATTTAGCATCTCATGCAGACATGCCTGGTATTTCTTACAGTGCGGAGAATAAGACTGTATCTCTAAAATACTGGATTAATAGTCTTTATGTCTGAAAGAATACAAGTATTCACCTAATCATAATTGGCTCAGGAAAGATACCAGGTGACATAAACAGACGTACATCACCAGACAGGAAGTTATATGCACCATAAGATTATATGCACCATGATTATTCTCCATAAGAATTAAATGAAAAAAAGCACGCAAATGGCTAGATAAGAAACAATACTTAAGGTCAGACTTTGAGAAGCAAATGTTGTCTAAAGAGTCCCAGGCCTAAGATACTGTAGTGCCACTTACTGTAGTGGCTTAGCTGGGCAACCCAAGCTGATAGCCTGGCAGAAGACTCTGGCTTGCTCAGAAATGGAAGCTACATTTTTAGAGCTTAGGGCTGGGATGGAGGAGTAAAGTCAAGTTATTGCTCTGATATTTCCTTTTGTCTATTTAGCTTTGCTTTATCTTTCAAGCGAAGATTATGTTCAGCAAGTTGATGTCTCACTCAATAGAATTCTATTGTCTCACAAGACAGACAGATGCCTACTACTACTACTTATACTTCTGTCTGTATCCCAATCATATGGTTACTGATTTCTTATGATTGCTCTTGCTTTTATATCAAATCTTTTATAACTTACTTATTGTTGATGATAATTGTAATTTCAGGGTATCTGACCTCCTCTGTAATCTCTAAGCACAAAGACAAAAGGAATGATTCCTTAAACTGGGAGAAGATCTGTGCTCAGAGGTGGCAAGACCTTGATAAGGCCACAGGCCAAGGATCTGGTTGCCGACACATCTCATCTTGTTCCCAGCGGTAAGCAGCAGAGACAGGTTTGAGGCTGAATGATACCTCTGAAGGTGTGGCAGAACCGAATCCAAGCGAGGGAGTGTTACAGTCCCCCACCTCCCAATTAAACTACTCACATCTCCTTTTCTTTCCATTTTATTGAAAATCTGAATATTCACATTGATTGCCCAACTCTCCTGGTTTCCCAAAAAATTTTACAAGTATACGACAGTATTTACAAAGATATTAAACTCAAATAATTACACTATTGACTGCAATGAATTAATACTATTTCAATTCAAGTATTATGTTTCTTCATATCTAATAAAGTTGAAGACCTATGTTCAAGCTCCACTTAGCTGCATTGCATGTTTGTTTTCTACATTTAGCTGGAAACAAGATACTTCATTCTCTTTTCGGTCAATAACAAAAGTTAATAAAAATTGAGTCACCCTAAGGCTTCAATGCAGAATCTGCCCCAATTAAGTCTTCTAACTCAATGCCAGTCAAAGGAAAACTATAAAATAAAGATTAATTCAACTTTCATTCCTCCAGGGCTCAGGGTTGGTTTATTACTTTAGTTTTAGAGAAATGTCATGATGCCAATTCAGCAGATTATCCTGGATAACTATCCCAATCTCAGATGCTGACAGAAGATCTACTAAAAAATTATGCCATTATGCTATGCTATGCTCACTAGACTGAAATCCAAACAGTGCAAATCTACTTCAGGAGAAGTTATCTAGGCAAATCTTACACGGGAGTTTTGGCAGGGAAACTGAAAAACAACATTAAATCCAATGTAGCAAGTATGTCAGTAGAAAGGAATATTCTGCTCCAAGAGATCTGAGTTGTATCTAGCAATATTACAGTTTATTCAGAGCAAGTAATCTATATTAAAAAAAAAAAAAAATCAGATCACTTAATATGTTAACAAAAACTTTATAAAAAAGAAGACTCTTATAAAAAACTTCTACCTAGAAAGAGAAATCGAATTCTTGAATACCTTCCTTTCAGTTACCAGCAAAAAACAGAAGCCTTCATCCTAGAAAGGGTGTTCTGTTCCATTAACAGAAATGATGCAGTTTTCACTCATTTCCCTGGAAGGACTATATCATACTCCAGATTCTGGAGTTTTATGCAGAGCCAAGTTTTGCCATTCCTGGTATATTTACTTTCAGGAAGGTTTTCCGCCATTGTTGTGAAGGGCTGCAAAACCTGATTCAACTACAGTCAGTCTCGTTTCCAGTACTTTTAATAAAGTTTCTGCCTGATAAGAAAATTGAGAAAATTTGGTTAGACAAAAGATGAATTAATACTGAAATTCTAATTCATTGAGAGTTACATGCTAGAAGTAATTCATAGTAATTATATAAAAATCAAGTTGTTCCATCCTCACCTCGCAACATATAATTCTGGGTAAACTGAATAAAAAAAGGAGTTGAAATGAAAAGATGCATGTTTTGCTTTGATAAATTAAAGGAAAAATATATGGATAAAGGCAGCTAACATATACTTGTTAAGGAAACCACTAGTCATAAAATATTACCTGTAGGGAGTACCTATGCATTCAATCAGGACTGGGTATTTTTCTTGAGAAAACGTTTTCAAATGTTATAGTGCAAGAGTTGCAGGGGTTTAGGTTGTAGCCATGTTGGTCTAAGGACATAGGCAGACAAGGTTCCTTGGGTGAATTTGATATCTTTTATTAGACCAACCCAAATAGTTGGAGAACAGTTATTAAGCAAGCTTTCGGGTTCAAAAACCCTTCGTCAGGCTAAGGAAGTTTCAGCAGTTGGGGTGTTCTCTTCCTGGATGGAATGGAAAGTAAACAAGCCAGGGGCTGGGGAGTCAGTTGCCAGGCAGATTGTAATGTATCAAAAATCCAATGTGCAAGAGTCGCATTGTAGCCATGATGGTCCAGAAATTATGCAAATGAAGCATTTCTTAGGGCGATATATTTTATTAGACCAACTATGTAGACAGGATAAAGTTAGACAAGGTTTTGAAAGCAATACATTCTTCCTCAGATGACCATGCCTAACTCTATCCTACCTACATAGTTGGTCCAATAAAAGATACCACTGTAAGAAATCCATTCCTTTCAAATTTGAGAGAAATTTAAAGCAGAAGATGCTGTGTTGGGAAGAGAGAGACTGTGTTACGGACCCAGAAGTAGATCGGTCTGACAATTATAACAGGGGACAGAAAATCAGGCACAGCACTTAGATTACTGGTAGATAATCATGAACTTTACAATTTCCAAAGATGTTTAAATCCAAAAGAAAGATATTTCTTTTTTCATTCAACACCAAAAAATTACTGTATTTACCTGAGTCCAAGCGAGCTTTAAATTTATGATGATGCCCCAATAATTAGATTCTATATATGGAACATTATATTTTCCTATAATTTTCTATATACACACAATCTAATTATATGGGGAGTGTCTTAAATTCATCCCTCCTACTACTGTGGCAGGGAAAGCAGCACTGGGAGTGCAGGAGGGGGCACAGGCCAGTGGCCAAACCTCCCATCTTGCCCTACTCCCAGCCACTGGCCCACCCTGATGCCTGCCCCTCCAACTCCTGCCCTTCACTGGTCACTCCTCCCTGCTTGGTCCCCAGCCACTCCCACCCCCACAAGCCCTACCCCACCCACCTGACCTCCTGCCTCCCTGCCACCATCCTCCGCAACCCCCGATGCCCCCCTCTGCCACTTACCTTCTGTGGATGCCCTGGTTCTGGGCCTGCCAACGGCAGCCTTGGAAGGCTTGTGGTCTCCCCAGCGCTCCCCCAAAGCTGTATATTGCAGGTCTCCCCCACAGCCCTCCCCTCCCACAGGTCTCTCCTGCACCCCCTCCCCTGCTGCATGAGCTACCCTGTCCCAGGGCAGGTGGCTACTAAGCTCCAGTTTTACTCTGGGCCCAGAAGTGGGGCTGCAGTAGCTGCCTGCCTCAGCCCATACTCAATCTAAAACTATTCTTCCCTCCCCTTCTCCACTCCCCTCCCATGTTGTTTGGGGAGAAGGAACCTCATCTGGGATTTGAGTAAATACAGGTATACAAGAACAGATATTATCCTGATTTCCAAATCATTATTTAACAATGCTTTATCAGCAAAAGAAGATGGACTGCAGGGTTGTCTGTACAGTTATTAGATATTGGGACAATACATACTAAATGAAAACTTGGTGGTTAAATATCCCACTGCTGTATAAGGAGGAAAGTCTGAACTATGAGAGAGGAAATTAGGCTGTATTTCACTGATAAAAAATATAATATTTTATTTTCAATTTCATTTATGGGTTGCTTTCAAGGTGTCAGAGACAACCTAAGAAATAGAAGCAATTCATTTATGGTCTAGATACTTTTGTTTCAATCTTTTTCCATCTAAAAGAAAGTTCAAAGCTTTGTGCAATTGATTTAAACAACCTATGATTGCCTCCACCACAATCCTAGAGGCATCTGGACACTTGGCAAACACGATTTCACTACTTTTTTTTCCCCCTTACATACAGTCTCCTTTCAGAGTAGATCTGAATTATAGCTATCCCCCTAGTTCCTCCATAATTCTACATGAACTCAGAAGTCACATTTACCAAAAAAAACCCATTTCTATAGTTTCTATTTTGTAATTCTGTATATCAGAAGATTTTAAAGTTGGTTTACATATGAACGTGAATTCTTAAGGCATGGAAAACTTAGGGACCAGAACCTCTGGAGACAAGTGCTCTTCCTTGTTATAAAGAAAGGTGGCCAGAAATCCAGAGATGCATTTAATTAGCAACTTTTGTTTTTGTCAGAACTGTTCTTGGGAGGAAAGTTTTCTGAACATCTAACTTTCTGAAACTGGCTGAAATTAGAAGCAGTTATGTAGAAACACTGTATGGATGTTTTCACAGTTGTAATGAACTTTTACCAGCTTAAAAACTAAATCTTACCCTTTCTAGTGCCTCTTCCAAGCTACCTCGACTTTGAAGAGTTAAAGGCTCCTCCTCAGTTACAGCTTGCTTTTCTGATGATCCTAGGATGTAACTGATATAAAATATTTAATTATGTAATATTCAGTCAAAATGAGAAATAACCACACATACCTGGCATTTTTATAACACCAGTCAATGCAATTAGATGAAATAGAGGATGGTGCTAGTTTGTCAATCTGTAAGCCAAGAAGAAAATGTAGTTTTGTAGACCTATTATACAACAAGCATACAAGAATTCCCTATTGTCACCGATACAAATTAACATGAAGAAAGAGAATGAACTACAGGGATAACATAGCGCAGGGGGACTAAAAACAAAAAAAGTGGATGACGATATTCACATTTCTGAATCGGAAGTGTCACCTAACCAACCAATCCCTAAGTTAATGAGAACAGGAACAAAGAGCAACATCATTCAAAGAGCTAACATAATTGATACTGACATAATTGATCCAAGATTTAATTACTGAAAAATATTTTAATACCTTCTGTTTAACAACACTACAGAAAGCCAGGTTTTAATGCTGTAGGTGTATCAATCCTGACCTTCCAGATTTAAGCCCAAGGAAGCCAAAAGGTGTATTTCTTCACCCAGTTTTCAGCATGCTAACTTTGTCCTTAGACTGGTAGTTAAGATGCATTTCCTCCAAAGCAGTAGTTCTCAACATTTTTAAGACTCGAAACATCCCTTCATAACCTGAATCAAGTGGTACCCTATTTAAAAAATGAATATCAGTCAGTTTTTAACTAGAGAAAAATGACTGAAAGAGCAATTCTTCTGTTGCAACACACACAGAAAGATCACACCAGGTCAGAAGGTTTTTGACACTGGATTCCTATTTTAAATCTCTGGGTTTATTTTGTGAAATGTGTAGGTGTTTGTGCACTTAACTTTGCTAGCACTGCAGTGCCCCACAGCACCTTTAAAAGGATCACATGGCACCTAGGTTGAGAACCACATATCTAAAGGCTTGTCTTCACCTAGGTCTAATTTGATACCTTGATACTTGGTCTTTACATTCACAGACTTCTGGGTAGGATTGTAGCCAAGACACCGTATTCCAGTCTTGTGTATGTAATGACACTCGATGTATTTGAACTATTTCATGAATGAACACCTAAGTTATGAAACTATCAGGGCCTACCCCACATCAAATGCAGAATCTTTCCATATAATCGAGCATTCCAACATAGGCAGCAAAAACAGAAAACACATTTCTTAAACTAAAGGAGTACAGAGAAGCAACCAGTAACCATCCCTACCCTTTCGCAAGTGTTGTAAACTCCTGAATAGAGAAACATCCTCCATTTCTGACAGTGAAGCAATCAAATTAAAAGGCAAAAACACTTGCATGCTTATCTGACAAGAGGAACTGTGGCAGGGGTGGGCAAAATGACCAAGCCAGCAGCCAGACTCCATTTCCTAGCCATGCCCTCATGGCTAGGGCGGTTCTCCATGGAGACCCCAGCCCCCTTAGAAGCACAGGCTGGGGTTGTCATGGAGACCAGCCTGAGCCGCACCAGCAGCGTGTGTGGCAGAGCAGTGCAGGGGGCTGCTCCAGAGCTGCTGGGAACACGGGATGGGGGCAGCTTGCTCCAGAGCCAGGAGAGCCGTGATCTGTAGCCTGCACACTCCAGGCAGAGGCGTGCAGGCAGGGGATTGTGGCTCAGGCCAGCTCTTAGAAGCAGCGACAGCCTGGTCTGGAGCCAGGGCAGAGCCACAATCCCCTGCTCGGAGTGTGCAGGCTACAGATCATGGCTCTGCCCTAGCTCTGGAGCAAACTGCCCCCATCACAAGATCCCAAGAGCTCTGTCACACATGCTGCCAACACGGCTCAGGCTGGTCTGCATGGCAACCCTAGCCTGAGCTTTGCTGTGCAGGTGCGGCTGGGGTCACCATGGAGACCGGCTCAAGCCATGCAGGCAGGTGCGGCTGGGAGCTGGAGTCCACAGCCGACTAGACCCAGCTTGCAGGCCAGACTTTGTCAGTCCCTGAACTACGGTCTTACCTTTCAATAGCGTCAACGTTGAAACAGAATAAATCTCTCTTATAGTCCAGGTGTTTGGGGGTGCATCTGTAGATGGTCCCAAGATTCACTGAGCACCCAGAGCAGAGCAGCGTTTCAATCATGCTACAAGCAAAATACTTATCACTAAATTAGCAGAAGTCGAGAGGAATTTTTAGGACGACCATGATTAGTCAAATACCCACTTCTGGCCTTCCCGCATCCACCCCCACTGTGAACACCTTATACAAACAGACAGCACAGCTAAGAGGTCTCAAATGTATCCAACTGGCTCTGTCCCCTACGGTAGCTATCCCCCAAGCCAGCCCCCGCGGCGGTCACTCACCAGCCGTACTCGCCGGGCCGGCTGGACAGCTTCTGCTCCTTATCCACCAGCACGTTGGAGGTGACATCTGCAAGGGAGAGCCAACCGTCACCAACCGCCCCCCAACAGTCGGGCGGACAGGGATGAGAGGGCCGGGGTGGATGCAGGGCAGGACTCACTGCGCAGCATGACACAGGACCCCTCCTCGTCGTTGGCCTCCCAGCTCAGCGTGTCGCCCACGGGCCGCTTGCAGCCGGCGCAGAGGAACACCATAGGCAGATCCTGCCCCTCCTCCTCCACTTCCCCCACCACGTTCCGACGCGCCCCCCGCG